ATCACGGCAGTTCCGATGAGCGTCGACGATCAATGGCGTCAGCGCTAGGAAAAAGCGAGCGGCCAACAAAAAAGTAAATGAAAATCACCCCCAACTCTCGGATTGCGAGTCTTAAATTTGATCTCTGAACCTTGCAAGTTTCGCCAGGCACCTCGCAAACCTGTGGGTCACTCTACAAAAATGAGCCTGAATGTCACAAAAAGCTGCTTAGTAGGGCGCTGCGAGTCGACATTTGAAGCATTGATAACTGACTCACGGTGTAACCCTAAGGTGAGACTCAGGGACCACAAGTCTTCCGCATTGCACCCACCCAGTTTGAAACCGGATGTCCATTGTAACCACATGTTTGAGGGGTTCTTGACGCGCAAAGGCCACATCGATGGAAACACCATTGACACGCATTCCAGTGCAAATTACAGCAAAAAATGCAATATATAGATAGAAGGAAACTTTATCAAAGCTCTGGGAAATGGACGGTTAGCGGGTTGCAAAACAAAGCCAGAGATAAAAGTATACTATTTCTTGCGCCTTTTTATCATCGGCTTTTGGGGCGGTGCGTCAACGTGCCAACATGCAACATGGCTGCGCGGCAACCTAGTTCGCGACAAACTACTTGTCTACTATATCGTACTAGTGCAGCTAGGAGCGCATGAACGGCAAGTGGGATTGTGGTCAAAGTCCAAGTCTATAGTTGTTAACATTCCAGGCGGCAATGCCCGTGAGAACATCAATGGTGCATGCAAGTTAGCAAGGCGGCAGGATGCGGCAGGCAAAGCAGCCTGAAGACCCGATGCAAAATGGACACCCCCTTGCAAGGCAAAGGGCTTTAAAATGAAACTGCAAACAAAGCAAGACTTATGTCAAGTCAGAAAAGTATTCCGAGACAGGGGCGGGGAACCTGTCGCGAATCACAATCTTGCCTCAGCGCTTCACTTTCAGCTTCGGTTTCAGCCTTCATTGCAACTTGCACGCTTCGACACCTGCAATCACTTGCGGCTCTCATTTTTGAAAGGATCCTTAATTAGAACTTCCGAGCGTGGGCCTTGGAGAGGAGAGGAAACCTGAATCTCCTCACAGGACAGGAAATTCTGCGCAGTTTGCAGGCCCTACCCAAGAAAACTAACCAACGTGCCTCGCCAGGCCAACAGGAGCAGCCCACACACCGCAGCCCAGCCTGATGTGTATAAATAAATAAATATATATATATATACACAGATTTAGAGAGAGCTATAAAAACGCGGCCCGACACATACAGCTTCGAAAGATGATTACGGCAAGAAAAAACCTATAGGCAATGCAGTGGGGCGCAACCATGCCTACTGTAGGCTCCAAAATGCAAAAATGCAAAAATTCCAAACAAAGGTTGAACACGCGACTGCAAAGCGCACTACTAACGCAAAAGGCTGGTTGCGTTACAATGGCCTGTGAGGAGGTGGGAAGCCATCACGGCAGCTACAGCAGAGCGATCAAGCAGGCGACCGCAATTATGCATAGCTTCGGCCGCGTGCCCCCTACACAAAACTGAACGAATGGCCCGGGAGCGTGGAAACACGAGAACCCCCAGTTTTTGGGCGCGCTGTGCAATGTAGGAAGGTATGTGAAGAAGCCCATTGAAAGACTTTCTGTGGCATAGGTGTACCTGGCAATCAGGGGAAATTAGTTGGTCTAACTTGGCCACACGATGCGCTACAAACTAAATACGGCAGTGTAACATGAAGAAACGTTGGCGCCGCCAATCATCCCGCTCCCCAGCGACGCGCCGAATTCACACCAGTTTTTTCGCGCCTCCAGTGGCACGGACTCACGAAAACACACTTTCCACCAAGGCCGCGCAGAACCGAATGAACACAGACGTAATTTGGCCACGTGCGCAACAGACTAGATGCAACAATGTAACGCCCAAGCCTCATGAGTGGACACCGCCAATCATCCCGCTCCCCAGCGACACACCGAGTTTACACCAGCGTGGTTTCCTTCCCCCAATATGGCACGGACTCACGCAAACGCATTTTCCACCGACACCGCGCAAAACCGCATGGCAGCGACATCGCAAACGTCATTTCGCCACACGGTGTGCCACAGACTGGTTCTCAAGCCACAGCTCCCAGAAACTGCTTCCTGTAATGCACGTCTACTAGCAAGTGGCGAGTTCTGAGCCCACAGTATTGCACGCTGCCAAATGGCCAGTTCTGAGGCCACAGCATCAAGGTGGCCAGTTCTGATGCCATCTGAAGAAACGGCGCCGGAGGCTGGATGTTGCCAGAGTGTGCAACTGCCGCCAAAAACGAAGGTGGAGGTGGTCAAAGTGTGTAACTGCCGTTGACAACAAAAATGGAGGCTGCCAATTGCCAAAGTGTGTGTAATAACTGTCGCCAAAAGCGAAAGACCGTCATCGAAAACGATGGTGGAGGTTGCAAAAAACCGTGTGTAACTGTTGCCAAAAACGAAGGTGGAGGTTGCCAAAGTTCGTAACTGTCGTCAAAAACGAAGGTGGAGGTCGCCAAAGTGTGTGTAACTGTCATAGAAATGGGAACTTTGTAGCGCAAATACAACGCGGGCTGCAAATACAGCGCCGTAGAGCGCTGGCTCCATGAAGAACTTAACCATGAATAAGCTTCCGGTCGGGGAGAGTTGAGTCAGTTTGCATGAGATGAACGTGGACCGCCTACAAGCAACAGAGGTGAGTCAACTCCAGACGACGTTTACTTAGAACCTATATGAAGCCATGAAATCTTTTATTTAAGACGTTTACCTATCTGCGAAAAGGAAAGGGGAAAGCCGACAGAGAGTGTGCGAGCGCGCACCTTGCAAAGCTTTTGCTCACCTATGAAGATGTCCACGCAGTGCTTGGGCAAACGCAACTGCTATTCACCACCCCTGTGCACCGATGAGCGTTTGGACCTGGAAATTTCAACCTTCCTTGCTGAATCCGAGCGTGGAAATTGTTGAAGGTGGAGAAGGTTGGACGCACTGCGTTTCTGTTTACTGAGGTTTTGTCAGGGCTCTTGGGGAGTCAGCCTACGCGCGACTCTCTTTGGATAACTCCGGGGTAAGCCTGAAGAGTGCCAAACATGGACCAGCGGAGCTGGTGGGTGCGTGTTACCAGGGACGCAACCGTGTTACCACAACCCGTAGGGGACAATAGGAGCCTCATGCAAATGTCATAGCCGATTGAATCCTCAAAGCCTCTGTGTCACTTGAGCCCTCTAAACCTTGTGGCTGATCCTTGTCGAATTCTACAAGCGCACAAGCGACGGTTGGGTCGTAGCTGGGAGCATCATCGTTTTCTTTCCTTTCTCCGCTGCCCTTTCTTCTTCCCCCCGCTGCCTCAGGCCACAGAGGCCCACTACATGCTCGACTATGGCAGGTTTCTACCCGATCAATCGATCGTATTGACATTTTTGACCGCCCATCGCACTAGTCTTTCAGTTTCTTTAGCAGTCACCGCCAACCAGCGCAGAAAAAAACACTTCCCTGCTCATCATTGTTTACACTACTAGACTATCTTCATTACTCTTGCAAGGTTCTCCTTCCTTTGAACTCCGAAGCCGTTTTCACTATCAGGTATGACCCACTCTGCCCGCGGTGCATCCTCAACACGTGTCCCATCCATGGCTTCCAAGACTCCAGACTATGGTCCTTCAAGCTTAGCCCAGAACTCCGACTCGCCACCGCAGCTGCTATACAAGACACTGCCAGCCATCGAAGACGTCTCTGCGTCCACCAAGCATCTAGCGCGATCCACATCTTCATCCCCTGCGCAGCCTATCGCCGCACCACCTTCCGGACCACCGCCAACCGTTGATCCTACCCAAGTACAACACCCT